AATTTGTTTTGACGTAGGACTACGTCTATGATTGCTATATGGGGGTACACCGCAAAAACCGAAAATGGAACGTGTAACCTAATTATGAAAATTTTTGAACGTTAATAAGTCAGCTGGATCAATTTCAATAATTTTATCACCAATCGATCAGAAATATTTTTACGCACATGTTAATTTTAAGACTTTATAATTTTTCAAAATGTCACTATTGAAAATTGCACGAATGTGCAACTGCTGCTATGATCCAAGTAGGCACTCATCTTATTTCCTTTCAAAGGTAAAGGAGCAGATGAGTGTGCTGGTCGAAAGATCATATCTAGATAGAGCTGGAATTAGGGCGTAACAGCTTTTGTAAACAATGACTTCTATCGACGATATCTAGAAACTCAAGGCACGCTCACACAGACCAACATAACCATCGGATAGGGGAAGTCTTTCCCTACCCGATGAGGATGTTGGTTTGCGTGGGCGAACCTTAAATTTCTAGAAATCATCGATAGAAATAATTGTTTACAAAAGCTGTTAGGCCCTAATTCCAGCTCTATCTAGATATATGATTACCTTTGTATGGGTCCCTTCACATTTGCTGAATCCCAGGCAATGAAAAGGCGAACTCTCTCACAAAGGTGGGCGCGCAGGAAGGCGAATTTTATGACAGGCAAATTTCACACGATGAATTTTACCATTTAGTGCGTCAGAGTACCCTTACGAGTTGACAAACCGATTGAGACACTGGAAATCTTGGACGGTGGTTACATTCAATTATTCCTAATGTTTCTTCGAGAGTGTGGTTTAAAAGGCTTGGGCTTAAGTCGTGACTTCATTCGCGTGATGAGTAGACTTATGTCCAACCACTACTCGCTAGATGCGCATCTCAATAGAATAAACTTCGTGGACAGCAACATATGTCGGTGTGGAAACGGTTACGACGACATCGATCACGCAGTTTGGAAATGTACGGATAATGACGCCGCCAGAGAGCGACTTTTGAATACCCTCGAGGCCCAAGGAAGACAACCTCATATCCTTATCAGAGACGTGTTGGACATCCGCGATCTCTGCTATATGCAGTCGATTTTTGTGTTTCTACAAATGTCTAGTATAAGAATTTAATTCGTTTGTCTTTTGTATCTCTGTATAAGTTTTTGTTTGTCTTGTCCACCCGTCTCGATGAGTCTCATCGTCGCCCACTGGTCACCATAGCAGGTCGAACTCCAGACGAATCTAGAACCACACTACCGTTCATACTGGCGACATCGCTCTGATGAGACAACGAAACCCTACTCCCAAGCTCCTCGAAGCACTCGGAACTATCATGAAACTATCTAAAAATATCTAAATTTTTTAAAAGTTCTCTGGAATTGCTTGAAGACATCGGTGCTTGCTAAAAGTTCTCGCATTTTTTTTTAATTTATCGATCTTCGTTGATGTTCTCTAATCAACCTAATTAAATTTTCGATTTTTTTTAACTTATTGAAATCTCTATGATATAATACCTTTGAAATGCTGTCATGGTTTTCCGGATGTATATATAATGTTTATCGCGTTCCAGAAATTCTCTCGGAGCTTTGCTGAAGTTTCCAGAAATTCCATAAGTTCCTCGAAACTTCTTTAAGGTTTCCACAATCTCCATGAAATTATTTGAACTGCTCTTTGATTCTCTGATCTGTCTTGATACTCTAGAACCTTTCCTAAAGCTCTCAATTCTATTGAAGATCTCGGTTCTGCTCGGAAATAAATGGAATTCCCGTAAACACCTTTAAATTTCCCTGAAATTCACTGAACTTCGGTGAAGTTCCTGACATATTTCTGAATTTTTATTAATTTTCTTAAGGTCTCGGTACTTCCACGAAACTCTTGGAACATCTTAAGGGTTCTGGATTGTTTTTTGAACACATCAAGGAACTATCCGGAATTTTTCTAGATTAACGATTAAAGATCTTTAAACTGTTCCAAAAGTCTGGACTAAAGTTACGGGAACTGCTCTTAAGATCTTAATTTCCCCAAAGATCTCTAGATCTAGCTTTTCTGAGGTGCTTAGAACTTCTTAAAAGTTTGCATAATACCCCTCAAGTTTCTATATTTCTCAAGTTCTGTGAAGTTCTCTGAAATTCTAGGAACTTCATTAAAGTATCTGAAAATTTTCGGAAGCTAAAATAACCACTTTGAGGTTCTTAAAGATTCCAGTAAGTTCCCCATATTTTCAGCGTGTTAACTTCCCTTATGTTCCCGCAGTTTTTTTTATGGAGCTGCACTGAAATTCTCAGCATTTCCTTTCATTCCTCAGAACTTCTACAAAGTTCCTACAATGATTGTATTTGTGAAGTTAATGAGACTGCAATGAAGATTTCTAAACTTTCATAAAGTTAATTACGAACTTGCAATAAATCATTTTTACCTTAATTCTGGCACTTTGAAAATTTTCAATACCTTTAACTTGTACATGGAATACGAAACATCAAGGCATGCAATATTTTTAGATCTTGAACTTAGTCAAATTACGTAAGTTTTTTTTTAACTTTATTAAAGTGAGAAATTAAGTAAGTGTTAAACTTCAACATTCAATGGATTTGTTTGTAAAGCTGTTTGTTTAAAACTGATTGCCATGTCTTCAAAACGTTTGGGTTAATTGATGCTACGAATTTAAAAAATAACTTTCTTATTATAAGCCTGGAATTTTTCCGTTAAAGATCTGGAAAAACCTGAAAAACTCAAGAAATGTTATTTATAAAAAAAAAAAGTGTGTGTCTACTGTGGTGTAGATAGTGAAAGACGATTAAACGTCACAAAGCAAAGAATGATCAATCTTGAAATACATTCATGCTAAAAAAGTTGAAAATAGTGACTGATTACAAGAAAAAGTTACTTGAAAAAATGAGTCTTTCTAGAGACTGACTTGGCTTAGTCACTAAAAAGTGACTCGCTGCGAGCCCTGAATTTCGTGATTTTTATTTAAAATTGAATTTGAAGAAATTTTACAATCTGTATCAAAAATATGTAGTTACAAAATCGTTAGAACATATGATTTGGGATTGCAAAACTATTTTCATTTTATCTTTCAGAATTTCAGAAGTCCTAAATGTATGGAATATATTCTCCTAGTCCTAGTTCTAGATTTTAATTTTGGTACCTATGTCTGAGAATTAATTGATGGCAAAATATAGAAGATCTAAGAAAAATCTAGGTACAGAATTCGTGGAGTAATCTAACTCTGAGAATTACCCAACATGCGAATTTTCTTAAATTTAAGATCCATAAAATCCAGGTATGTACAGGAGTACCTACAAACTATTTTTTGAATGTTTCTTCACCAATTAACCATTTCATTCGAGCAGATAAAATGACGTTTACTACCACACGAACTTTGAAATGAAACATTATTTTGAGATTTTTTCTTCTAGAACCTCGAGTAAAGTAGCCAACATTTGTGCGTTTCATAATAAAATGTCTAGTTTTGTGAAATCGCTGGTAGAAAGTCACGCCAAAACTGCTTGACAAAGGGGTCAATAGGAAGAGAACGAGTAGACATTTGAATGCAACCAACACCCGGACTAATTTAATGAGATTTCAACTATGTTTCCGACTTTTTTAAAAAAAAAAGCGCAGTGCTGTGTTTCTAAAATTTGACCGGCGCTCTTAAAATATAAATCTGCCTAAAATAACGATGAATGCGCCCCCGACGTTGATGGCGTTGTTTCACATAGTGTATTATCTAGTTTATACAGTACGTTGCAAAACATTTGCACTTTATCGAGCAGCACCGTACTCTACAGGTGGCGAAGTCCCTTTATCCTTTCTTCTTGAAATTATGATTAGTTTCCGAAAGTTCCGTTAACATTTTCCAAGCACCATAATTTGTGTTTTCTTATTTATCTCATATCTATCTTACTTGACTTACTCCTAACTTCAGAAAAAAAAACCTTGAACAATTTCTAGAATTTTCCTAAACATTCGTGGGCAAAACAAAGTTTCCAAAACTACCAGAATGTTATCAAATCAAAAACTCCGCACTAAGAAGTCCTTCCTGCGCTAACTGAAGCAAAGGCGCAACGAACTTTTGTTTATCCGAGGCACTCGGTCCCCCTTCCTGAGTTACAAGTACTATGCCAATTAAGGGAAAGATTATGGATATGATGATAGTTAAAAAAAAAAACAACAAATAAAGATACATAAATATGGATTCGTTTTATGCGTTTTACTCCGAACACCTCTGTGTACCGTTTGAAAGTTTCATGTAAATTTCTGAGATATTTAGCGATGTTTTATCGAAAATTTTCAAAATATTTCACATAAATTTAAGCACAATTTCGCGTAATTTGGCAATGCTGTATACAAGCACGTCATTTTTGTTTTGTTTTGAAAGTTCACAGTTCACAGTTTTGAAAGCGACAGTTTAAACCCAGATCTTTTTTTTCTGTGAGCAACAAGGATAATTTGAACCACTCTAAGGCTCATACACTGCATTCAAAGCCCCAGTACACCTAAACAATTACTCTGCATGATAAACGCTAAAATCATTCACTCATTCCAGTGTGAGGGCACAACAGATGGATTCTTATGAGATTCCATCGTAGAACGCGCCACTGCACCTGTTCGTCCGTTTCATTTCAAATAATGAAAACACCCATAGCAAAACAACACATTTTCCATTTATATGCTTTCAGGTCCACGCAGCACATCCCAACACATGCCATTTCTTCACATCCACTCCTCTGCTGCTCGGCAACATTGTTGCTGCTTGAGAAAATTTCCCTTGGACAGGGGCTCCTACCTCTCCATCTGTATATCCCATACAGCAAAGGGATGACAAGGGTCGCAAACGAAAAGATGTAGCAAACGCATGCATAGGCTCCGATGCTGACGCACACGCACACCTGGTTCCATTTCGGTACCTGCTCTCCGAGTTGTGACCCCGTGATTAAGATATGAAGGCTTAGCTCTCTCCCGGTCCAAAGTCAACCAACGAAAACAAGGGTTCAAGCCATGCAGGCAATAAGTACCTTCAGTCTCAAAACTACCGCCACTGGCACCGCTCGGAACCTGCTGGTTAAAGTCCTCCTGCGGGATCGATATTGAATCCTTTGCCATTATTGCTGCTTCGAGCTATTGATCGGTTTTCCTATTCTTCTTTTCTGCCAAAACGAAGAGCACTGTCTTTTCTTCTTTCGACTGCTACTGGGGTAACTTATTTCACTCGTAACAACACCATTTCACCGTATCAAATCCGCTTCTTCATTCCAACTGTTCAAGTTTCACTTCCGATTCCGAAGGGATTTCAAATTCCACCAACAATCAGTTACGGCAGCTACCAAAACAACAACAACAACAACAACGCAATTCGAGTGCAGCCATAGAAAATCCATCACGCTTGAAATTAAATGCACCCAAGTCCAACGCCTCCAGTTTTTGGTAATTCGATGGAGAGCGATCCCCACACCGACGACGCACGGTCAGCTTTCGATGGTACACATGAGTCTCTTCTGTTCAGTGAACCGCAATGCAATCGGACCCAACCCGTGGAATTGAACTCGATAGAGATTTTGGAACGCACGCGCGCACGCACTGCTGCCGTTTTCACGTTTTCCGTTCTTGCGAAGGACTGGCCTATGTTGCGTTCGTTCCTAATGTTTATGCTCCACTATCCGAAAAACAAAATCATGGACCTGGGGTGGTGTGAGCGAGAGGGGTTCGTGCGTCCCGTTCCCTCAACAACGACAACAACGACGGCACACAGCCTTAGATATGTGTGGTTTATATTTCGGCAATGTGCGTCTACGCACTATACTATTAACGGAGAAGGTCGCTCGCATGGTTGGATTGGTGCGAGCGAGACAGCCAGCGGTCCCAATCAGAACTGGTCGAAATTGTAGTGCGTATTTAGCTCGACTGAGGCTGCCTGATGCGACTGCCGGACGAAAGTGTTCTCATGCTAGGTGAAATTATGCTGTTTGTCAGGTTTTGTTGGTACAAGTGTGATGAACTCCAAGGTTTTTGATAAACAGCATTTGGTGGATTTAAAGGAAAATAATAGCACATGAAATGAACGGGTTGCTCTCCGAACGCTCATATAGTTTGCATACACACATTTGGCAGGAAGTGGAAACCATTATTTATCCTAATGCCTAACTGATGTATGGTTTTCATACATTTATAGAAAATAGTTGGCCAGAGGTTTTTTTTTTTTTTTTTTTTTTTTTAACTCTTTATTTGTTCCAAATTCAAAATAAATTACATTTCATTTTAACCTAGGTGCTCCAGTTACTGCAGTAACGTACCAGCCTCAATTGTTATGATATATATCTAAGTATTTTTACATTGTTCATGTCTTGGCAATTCAGTATTTTAAACAGGTTTTTTAACCTGCATGTCAGTATAACAATTGATATCTTAAAACTAAAAACTAAAACTAAATCTTATCTAAGTATAAAGGGAATTAATCGTTGCAATTGAGGATTGCAACGATTTTTGCCTGAAATTATTAATTATTTTGTTGGACATTTGTGCTAAAGTCTCAACATTCGAAATTCTATGTACTTCGGTTGTACTGTACCAGGGAGGCAACTTCAAAATCATTTTCAGAATTTTGTTCTGAATCCTTTGAAGTGCTTTTTTCCTGGTAGTGCAGCAACTAGACCATATTGGCACAGCGTAAAGCATGGCCGGTCTAAAAACTTGTTTAAATATTAGAAGTTTATTCGTCAGGCAAAGTTTGGATTTCCTGTTTATAAGAGGATACAAACATTTTATATATTTGTTACATTTGGCTTGAATGCCCTCAATGTGATCTTTAAAAGTTAATTTTTGGTCAAGTATTAATCCAAGATATTTCACTTGGTTTGACCAGGAAATTGGAACTCCGTTCATAGTGACTATGTGACTACTACTAGGTTTCAAAAACGAAGCTCTAGGCTTATGTGGAAATATTATAAGTTGAGTTTTGGAAGCGTTGGGAGAAATCTTCCATTTTTGTAAATAAGAAGAGAAAATATCTAAACTTTTCTGCAGTCTGCTGCAAATAACACGAAGACTTCTTCCTTTAGCTGAAATGCCTGTGTCATCAGCGAACAAAGATTTGTGGCAACCCTGAGGCAAATCAGGGAGGTCCGAAGTGAAAATGTTATACAATATAGGCCCAAGAATGCTACCCTGAGGAACTCCTGCTCTAACAGGTAGTCGATTAGATTTGGAATTTTGATAATTTACTTGAAGAGTTCTGTCAGTTAAATAATTTTGAACTAATTTCATAATATAAAGTGGAAAATTAAACTTTTTCAATTTAGCAATCAAACCTTCATGCCAAACACTGTCGAATGCTTTTTCTATGTCTAGAAGAGCAACTCCAATTGAGTGGCCTTCAGATTTGTTTGAACGAATTAAATTGGTAACTCTCAAGAGCTGATGAGTAGTTCAATGCCCATGGCGAAATCCAAACTGCTCATCTGCAAAAATTGAGTTCGTGTTGATGTGAAGCATCATTCTATTCAAAATTATTTTTTCAAAAAGTTTACTTATTGAAGAAAGCAAACTTATTGGACGGTAGCTAGAAGCTTCAGCTGGATTTTTATCCGGCTTCAAAATTGGAACAACTTTTGCATTTTTCCATTTATCAGGAAAGTATGCCAAATGGAAACATCTGTTAAATAATTTTACCAAGAAAGACAAGGTACTCTCTGGGAGTTTTTTGATGAGGATATAGAAAATTCCATCATCACCTGGAGCTTTCATATTTTGAAAATTTTTAGTTATAGACCTTACTTCGTCCAAATCAGTCCCCCAGGAATCATCAAAAATATTTTCCCGAGAGAAAATATTCAGAAAATCCCGAGCAACCTGATTCTCAATAGGACTAGTAAGACCCAAACTGAAATTATGGGAACTCTCGAATTGCTTAGCAAGTTTCTGAGCTTTTTCCAAATTTGTGATCAAAATTTTACCACCTTCTTTAAGCGCTGGAATAGGCTTTTGAGGTTTTTTCAAAATTTTTGTGAGTTTCCAAAAGGGTTTGGAACTCGGGTCTAATTTAGAAATATTATTTTCAAAAGTTTTGTTCCTCAGGGCAGAGAATCGCTTTTTAATTTGTTTTTGCAAATCCCGCCAGATAACTTTCATGGCAGGATCGCGTGTTCTTTGATATTGTCTCCTACGGACATTTTTAAGACGGATCAAGAGCTGAAGATCATCGTCTATTATAATTGAATCGAATTTAACCTCGCATTTTGGTACTGAGGCAGCTCTTGCTTCAACTATAGAAGTAGTCAGAGATTCAAGAGCATAATTAATTTCATCTTTGGTTTGCAAAGGAATGTTTGGATCGAAGTTATATTCCATAAATGTTCGATACTGCTCCCAATCAGCTCTATGGTAATTGAAAGTAGAGCTGTTGGGATTACAAATTATTTCTTGGGATATTTCAAAAGTTACTGGAAGGTGATCAGAACCGAAGTCAGCATGGGTAACCAATTGGCTACAAAGTTGACATGAATCAGTTAAGACCAAATCAATAGTGGAGGGATTTCTTGTAGAAGAAAAGCATGTTGGGCTGTTTGGATATTGAATAGTGTAATAACCTGCAGAACAATCATCAAACAGAATATTACCATTGGAATTGCTTTGAGCATTATTCCATGAGCGGTGTTTTGCATTAAAATCACCAATAATGAAGAATTTAGACCTATGACGGGTAAGTTTCTGGAGGTCACCCTTGAGAAAATTCTTTTGCTGGCCTACGCATTGGAATGGCAAATAGGCAGCTATAAACGTAAGTTGTCCAAATTTTGTTTCAACAGAAACTCCCAAAGTTTCAAAAACTTTGGTTTCAAATGAAGAAAGAATTTTATGTTTGATTCGTCTATGAATAATGATGGCAACGCCACCACAGGGTCCATCAAGACGATCATTTCTATAAATCAAGTAGTTTGCGTCCTTCTTAACCTTATGGGCAGGTTTAAGGAACGTTTCAGTTATAACGGCAATATGCACGTTATGAACTCTTAAAAAGTTAAATAGCTCGTCTTCATTATCTTTAAGAGATCGAGCATTCCAATTTACAATATTTAATGCTTTAAAATCCATTACTGAATTTTAAAGTCATGACAATATTATTTGCAAATTTTACTCCAGTTTGAATAGCATCAAACATGGAGTTAGATTTAAGCATATCAGAAATCATGTCAATTAATGAATTCTGTAAAAATTCCATTTTGGGGGCAGTAATGCTTCCTAAGTCAAAATTGTCAAAATTTCCGTTAGAACGTTGGTTAGTATTTTGATTTCTACCCGCTGCAATAGCAGCATAGGTAGCTCCATTAACTCGCTGAACATTGTTAGCAGCGAGGGGAGTAGGTACAGATGAAAAATTTGAAGCAGGGGTGATATTTGTACCTACGGGTACGAATGTAGAATTTGTTCCTCGCTGACCGTTGTTAACAGCAGAGGAATTTGTACCTGGTCGGAAACGTGGAGCGTTTCCTACCTGACGGTTAGAACGAGATTGTAGGATCGCTTTGCGAGTCTTACATTCCCAAAAATTGGATTTGTGGTTTTCACCACAATTTGAACATTTAAATTTCTTAGGATCTTCCTTCACAGGACAGTCGTCCTTTGCGTGAGAGGAATCACCACAATTCATGCATTTAGCTGGCATGTAGCAATTTTTAGTTCCGTGACCCCATCCCTGGCACTTACGGCACTGGGTGAGGTTTTGGAAATTTCCTCCAGTCTTCCTGAAGTGTTCCCACTTCACTCGGACATGGAGCATAAGGCTAGCTTTTTCTAAGGCCTTAAGGTTGTTTTGTTCACTAGACTTGAAGTGAACTAAATAAAAATCATTAGAAATCCCGTTGCGCGAATCGCCAGGACGGGATTTCATTTTCATTTTGATTACTTGGAGTGGCACAACTCCAAGTAATTTTGCCAGTTCATCTTTGATCTGATCCAGGGATTCACCACTGGGCAGTCCTTTCATGACAACCTTGAACACACGTTCAGTTTTGGTGTCGTAAGTAAAAAATTTGTGCTTCTTCTCAGTAAGATACTTGAGAAGACATTTAAATCCGTCCAAGGTTTCAGCCAATACACGGCATTCACCCCGAC